TTCCCCCATAAAACCCCCCTTCCACATTTAAACCAGCATAGAGGTGCTTAAATCCTAAAGCATCATTTAGCAGTCTCATTCTTAATTTAATAAAATAACGTGGGAAATCCCAGCATGGAGAAAATCGTTCATGCAGAGCACAGTAAACAACCTCTGCCTGAAATCAGTACTAAATTTAAATCTGTTGTTAACACTTAAAGGCTCCTGTGGCATTTGTAAAGGTCAGGAACTTCCCACCTGTCCAGTCATTTAAAAATCAAATATATATATATATAAAAACCCCCACAAAACCAGAAAGCTTGTGGCTCCTAAGCTGTCAAAGCTGACTTGCCCTGCATGTACATTTAACGCTGCAAGGAAGAGGAGACTCACCTTGAAGAAATCATCCTGATGGACCACGCAGCAGTTGGGGAGCGCCTTGACGAGCCTGTTGGTCAGGGTGGTTTTGCCACCGTTGGTGACCCTGCACGGAGCGGGGCGACACAGAGGTGGAAAAATCGCATTAGAACCGGTCTGGGAGCCACGGGGACCCGCGGCGGGACAGGCACCGCCGAGGGAGCCGGGCCCTGAGGGAGCCGAGCCCCTGAGGGAGCCGGGAACTGACCCTGAGGGGACCCGGGAATTGACCCTGAGGGACCCGAGCCCCTGAGGGACCCGGGAATTGACCCTGAGGGACCCGAGCCCCTGAGGGACCCGGGAATTGACCCTGAGGGGACCCGAGCCCCTGAGGGACCCGGGAATTGACCCAGAGGGATCCGAGCCCCTGAGGGATCCGAACCCAGCAGCGGGAGCCCCTGAGGGACCCGGGAATTGACCCTGAGGGAGCCGAGCCCCTGAGGGGACCCAGGAATTGACCCTGAGGGATCCGAGCCCCTGAGGGGACCCGGGAATTGACCCTGAGGGAGCCGAGCCCCTGAGGGAGCCGAGCCCCTGAGGGGACCCGGGAATTGACCCTGAGGGAGCCAAGCCCCTGAGGGAGCCGGGAATTGACCCTGAGGGATCCGAACCCCGCCCAGCAGCGGGAGCCCCTGAGGGGACACAGGCACTGACCCTGAGGGATCCCGAACCCCTGAGGGGACCCAGGCACTGACCCTGAGGGACCCGAGCCCCTGAGGGGACCCAGGCACGGACTCTGAAGGATCCGAGCCCCTGAGGGGACCCCGACATTGACCCTGAGGGTCCCCAACCCCTCCCCGTTTGAATTTCCCGCCCCTCCAGCGCCGCTCGCCGATTGGCTGCGACCACCCCCAGCCCCGCCTTTTCCCCGGCTGCCGATTGGCCGTCACCGCCCCTTCGCGGTCGTGCCCCCTTCCAGCGCCCCGCGCGCGCGCTTCGGCCGCGTGTAACGGCCCGCGCCGCTTCCCGCGCGCGCGCAACCGCGGCGCTGAGGGGGGAGCGCGCGCGCGGGGCCGCCATGGCCGCTCCCTCACAGCTGGGACTCCTGAGGGGGCGCGGGGCCGCCATGGCCGGTCCCTCACAGCTGGGACTCCTGAGGGGGCGCGGGGCCGCCATGGCCGGTCCCTCACAGCCCGGGGGCCCTGAGGGAAAGCGGGGCCGCCATGGCCGGTCCCTCACAGCCCGGACTCCTGAGGGGGCGCGGGGCCGCCATGGCCGGTCCCTCACGGCCCGGACCCTGAGGGAGATGGAGCGGCCGAGCCGCCCTCGCTCCCTCATACGCCCCATAACCCGTTTAATGAAAAAGCCCTGAATATTCCTCCTTTTTTTTTTCTTTAAATCCCATGGCTGTATAAATCCCTCGGTCGCATATTATTATTAATGTATTATCATTCTAATAACCCGTATTACTGTTCCATTTCCGGAACTCTCCCGCCGCACTCTCACCCCCTCCCAGCAAGAGCACAACTTCAATCCTGCTTTTTAAAATCAAAAGCAATGCCCTTTATACACCACCAACCCATTTTAATAGAAACGGGATTTTTCCCCCCTCTTCGTCTTGCAGAGAAAACTTTAAAAGAATTTTCTTGGTCTATCTGGCCTCTAAATTTACTTGAGAGAGTGTTTTTTGCCATCTCAGCATCCCTCCTCTTAAAGCTATAAAAGGATATAAAACTGTGGATAAAAGTATCTCAACAAATATATAAACGTGTACGTATATAATTTGCATATATAAATATATATATAACACAAATTAGTATATAAAATGTAAAGTGTATGAAAGGATGTGCTGCCCTGCAAAACTCCGTTGAAGCAGCATCCATCCTTTCAATCTTATTAAATATATAATAAATTAAAAAAGATATATCAAGTAAAAGTACATCTAAAAGTATATATTAAAGAATATATAAAAGTGGATGTTACCCTGCTGTATTTAAGCATCACGAATTAACACTCATCAAGTTGCATCATCTCTCAAATCCTACATCCCGAATATTTAAAAGGATATAAAACTGTGGATAAAAGTATCTCAACAAATATATAAACGTGTACGTATATAATTTGCATATATAAATATATATATAACACAAATTAGTATATAAAATGTAAAGTGTATGAAAGGATGTGCTGCCCTGCAAAACTCCGTTGAAGCAGCATCCATCCTTTCAATCTTATTAAATATATAATAAATTAAAAAGATATATCAAGTAAAAGTACATCTAAAAGTATATATTGATATCTATTAAAGAATGTATAAAAGTGGATGTTACCCTGCTGTATTTAAGCATCACGAATTAACACTCATCAAGTTGCATCATCTCTCAAATCCTACATCCCGAATATTATTTTATAACCAGATGAACAACCCCCAAAAATTCAAGCAGGAAAAACCATAAAATAAACCAGATTTTAGCAGGGACTTACCCTCCGATGCCTATAATATATTTCATTTTGCCGAGTCGCCTCTTGAGCCGGAATGTGGCGAGAGAGGAGGAAAAAAAACCCCAAAAAAACAAAAAAAAAAGAACTTTTTCTTTTTTTGAGCGGAACAAAAACCCCGCTGTCCCTGTTCCTTTTTTTCCCCGGGTTGTGCTCTGCCTCGCCGAGCCTTTCATTGAGGAAAAGGCGTTTTTGGGGAGGATTTATAGCGCCGTGTCCCCGCCCCGAGGAGCCCTGTGACCGTCATGAGCCGCGGTGTCACCCTTGGGGCAGGGCGGCGAGCTCAATGTCACTTTTGGGGAGTTTAACCCCTCAATGCCATTTTTTGGGGGGGTTCGACCCCTCAATGTCACTTTTTCTGGGGGGTTTAACCCTCAATGTCACTTTTGGAGGGGTTCAACCCCTCAATGTCATTTTTTGGGGGGGTTCGACCCCTCAATGTCACACTTTGGGGGGGGTTCAACCCCTCAATATCACTTTTTGGGGGGTTTAACCCTCAATGTCACTTTTGGGGGGTTTAACCCCTCAATGTCACTTTTGGGGGAGTTTAACCCCTCAATGTCATTTTTGGGGGGGTTCGACCCCTCAATGTCACTTTTGGGGGGGTTCGACCCCTCAATGTCACACTTTGGGGGGGGTTCAACCCCTCAATATCACTTTTGGGGGGGTTTAACCCTCAATGTCACTTTTGGAGGGGTTTAACCCCTCAATGTCACTTTTGGGGAATTTAACCCCTCAATGTCATATTTTGGGGGGGTTCAACCCCTCAATGTCACACTTTGGGGGTGTTTAACCCTTCAATGTCACTTTTTGGACAGTTTCAACTCAATATTGTCACTTTTTGGGGGGGTTCGACCCCTCAATGTCACTTTTTTGAGGGGGTTCGACCCCTCAATGTCACTTTTTGGGGGGTTCAACCCCTCAATGTCACTTTTTGGGAGGGTTCAACCCCTCAATGTCACATTTTGTGGGGCTTCAACGTCTCAATGTCACATTTTGAACAGTTTCAACTCAATATTGTCACTTTTTGGGGGGGGTTAACCCCTCAATGTCACTTTTTGGGGGGGGTTAACCCCTCAATGTCACTTTTTGGGGGGGGTTAACCCCTCAATGTCACTTTTTGGGGGGGGTTAACCCCTCAATGTCACTTTTTGGGGGGGGTTAACCCCTCAATGTCACTTTTTGGGGGAGTTTCAGCCCCTCAATGTCACTTTTTGTGGGGCTTCAACGTCTCAGTGTCACATTTTGGACACTTTCAATTCAGTATTGTCACATTTTGGGGGAGTTTAAATGCCCAATGTCACTTTTTTTGGGGGGGGGTTTAACCCCTCAATGTCACATTTTGAACAGTTTCAACTCAATATTGTCACATTTTGGGGGAGTTTCAGCCCCTCAGTGTCACTTTTTGGGGGGGGTTTAACCCCTCAATGTCACATTTTGAACAGTTTCAACTCAATATTGTCTCTTTTTGGGGGGGTTCAACCCCTCAGTGTCACTTTTTGGGGGGGGTTTAACCCTCCAGTGTCACATTTTTGGGTGATTTAACCCCAAATGTCCCATTTTAGTGGGGGTTAACCCCTCAGTGTCACTTTTTGGGCAGTTTCAACCTGTCAACGTCACATTTTAGCATATTTTAACCTCCAAACATCACATTTTGGGGGGGTTCAGCCCACCCCCGAGTGCCACATTTTGGGGGCTTTTCAACCCACCCTTCAGCGTCCCATTTTTGGGGGTTTCAACCCCCCAGAACCCCAATTTAGAACCCTTTCACCCAACCCTTCGAGTCACACTTTGTGCTGCTCCAACCCTCAAATCCCACATATTTTGGGGTGGAATAAACCCTTCAACCCCCCCAAAAATCACATTTTTTCTTGCAATTCCACCCATTTGAGGGGAATTTCAGCCCACCCTGCCAGCTCCCGTTTTTGGGGGGCTCACCCACCCCCACGTCACCCTGCACCTGTCCCTCTCCCTCGCTGGCCTCATCACCGTGGTGGCCAAAAATAACTTTTTGGCCAGCTCTTCCTTTTCCTAAATTAGTCATGAGGCAGGTGGAAATGTCACCCTGCCACCATCCCGGGGAGCCACAGAGGAAATAATTAAGTCGGGATTTTTTTTTTTTTTTCCTTGCTCTCTCCCCTCCTTTATTCCCCAATCCCCCTCCCCAAAAAAAAATCTGATTATTTGAAACTCATCGAGGGGAAGGAATTTTTCTCTAAACTCCTAGAAAATAAAAAAAAAAGGGGAATTAAATGTTAATTTTTTTTAATTTTTATTTTCCTTTTCAGTCGAGCTGTTCAGAGGAAGGAACGAGGAGTGAATCTTCCGGAATGTCTCTTGACAAGGAATTTTTGGAACAGTTTATTTTTTGTAAATAGACCCAAATTCCTAAACTATTATCTCTCCAGAGAGCCTCCTCCTCCCTGGTTAACTCACATAAAAGAAGGCTTTTTAAGGTAAGTTAACTCCACACCTTGTGAAACCTGGGCTTTAATTTGAATTATTCCAGATGTTCCTTCATTGGGGTTCTGGGAGCAATGCCAGGCTTTTCAACATTATTTTTTGATGTTTATAATGTGCATTTTTAAATAATATCTTGCCTTGTTCTTCCTTTTTTATAAAACCACAGTGTGGCAGGATTAAAAGGTCGCTGTTAAAACTATCAAAGGGATGGTAAAAAAAACAGTAACACCAAATTTGGGTATTTGGGGTCCTGTTTGACATTTTTGCCTTGGAGCCTTCAGCTTTTGCAGTGTAAAATCCAAATATCCAGGATTCCATGGGAAGTTTTGGAAGGAATATACATATTATATATATATATATATATACACATATTATATATATATATACATATTATATATATATATACATATTTTATATACACACACACATATATACATATATTTTATATACATATTTATTTTTATAGACATTTATTTTATATATATATATTTATTTATATATTTATATATATATTTATATATATATTTGTATATATATTTATATATATATATATACTTAAATATATACATAAACTAAAAAAAAAAATCTAAAATTTTGTATATATATATATATATATATATATATATATGTATATATGTTTTGGGTTTGGGTTTTTTTGCATCTTCTTTGCCTCATTCCACCCCATGGCACCATCCCACTCCTTCTTCATATCCCCATTATTTTCGTTATTTCCCTCTAATTATGTTTGACACCATTAACTTTTATTCAGGCCTGCTCCTGAGCTGTGTTTGATTTTAATTTCTCTCTTTCGGGCCTGAAGAAGAGGTTTGTGGCCTCAAACTTCCTTTGTCTCAGCTCAGCTGTGTCCGTTGAGCTAAAATAAAAATAAAAATGTTATTTTTCTCCTCAAAGCTGTTCCTGCTCCTCAGCCACCAGGCCAGGTGCTCAAATGAGCTGCTCATGAATAAACATGAGCTGCAAATTAGGGCAATTTTAACTGGCAGAGGTCAAGGTTCTGGAGGTTTTGCAGGGAGGAAATTGAAGGCAAGAAAAGAAATCAGGTTTAAGGTAGAACCTGGTGAATTTATGGGTGGGAATACAGCAAATGAGCTTTTCCAGTGTTCCCATTGTTCTTATTATGAGGGGAAATATTATTCAATAATAAATAATATCATTAAATAATAAATATTACATAATGCTAGAAGAAAAAAGATATAATATATATAAAGTCTGAGGGGTGCAAAACAATAGTTTAGTTATTATATATAATATATATAATATATAAAAGGTATATAATATATAAAATATTGTATATGATAGATTATATAAATAATATCATATATATAATATATTATAGGTTTCTATTATAAAATAATATAATATATAATATATTATTATGTAGCCTATATTATAAATAATATAATAATATTGTTAAATAATAAATATTAATAAATACTTTGATTCTTCTTTGCACTTTCCCCATCAGTTCCAAGGTAAAATGATAATTCCAGAGAACTCTGGAGCTTGGATTCCTGAATTTGATCAACCCCAGGGAAGTTGAATTTCCAGCCCTGCTTGGTCCTTGCAGGGTGTCCCCACATCACCCCCTGGAATTAAGGTAAAAAAATGAAAAATTGTCCTCAAATTAGCTCCTACTCAAAATTTTTATGCCTTTTATTGCTGTTCTCACCCACCCCTGAGCCAGGAATAATTTTACTGCGTTTGACCTCACGAGAAGGGAAAAAGAACCCAAAAATCTCCAAAATTGTATCAAAGTTCCGAGTTCTGCTCCAGTTCTCTTCCCTCTGCTAATCCAAATATTTCTGGAAAATTCCATCCCAGCGAGGGAAATTTGTGTTTTGCCCAGTTGGATTTGCCTGCAGGGACGTGGCTGGTGAGGATTTTACTTCTGGAAAATAAAAAAAAAAAGAGATTTTGGCCAAAGCTGTATGAAAAGAAACAGTGAATTTTTGGTGTATCAGAAGGAGCAGTGAATTTTTGGTGTATCAGACGACACAGTGAATTTTTGGTGTATCAAAAGACACAGTGAATTTTTGGTGTATCAAAAGGCACAGTGAGTTTTTGGTGTATGAAAAGAAACAGTGAATTTTTGGTGTATCAGAAGGAGCAGTGAATTTTTGGTGTATGAAAAGAAACAGTGAATTTTTGGTGTATGAAAAGAAACAGTGAATTTTTGGTGTATGAAAAGAAGCAGTGAATTTTTGGTGTATGAAAAGAAACAGTGAATTTTTGGTGTATGAAAAGACACAGTGAATTTTTGGTGTATGAAAAGACACAGTGAATTTTTGGTGTATCAAAAGGAGCAGTGAATTTTTGGTGTATCAGAAGACACAGTGAATTTTTGGTGTATGAAAAGACACAGTGAATTTTTGGTGTATCAGAAGACACAGTGAATTTTTGGTGTTGGAAGCAGACCACAATCAGGGTGGGAGCAGCAGGGCTGGATTGTTTGGGATCAGGGAATCAGAGCAGTGTCCCGTTATCTCCACAAGGAATTTCAACATTTCTGTTTCTTCTGGGAACGGGAGGCTTGGAGGACACAGCAACCAGCTGTGGCTGCTCTTGGGGTTTTTTGGAGCTCAAACCTCATTCCTGTCAGTGTAAAATTCATTTTTTCTCGGTGGAAAAGCTCCTTTAAAAGTTCTTTTTCCTCAGTGTAAAAGCTCATTTAAAAGCTCCTTTCCCTCAGTGTAAAAGCTCATTTAAAAGTTCCTTTTCCTCAGTGTAAAAGCTCATTTAAATCTCCTTTCCCTCAGTGTAAAAGCTCATTTAAAAGCTCCTTTCCCTCAGTGTAAAAGCTCATTTAAAAGTTCCTTTTCCTCAGTGTAAAAGCTCATTTAAATCTCCTTTCCCTCAGTGTAAAAGCTCATTTAAAAGCTCCTTTTCCTCACTGTAAAAGCTCATTTTTCTTCAGTGTAAAGGCTCATTTCTCCTCATTTAAAAGCTCCCTTCTTCTCAGTGTAAGGCTTATTTCTCCTCATCTAAAAGCTCATTTCTCCTTGCTGTAAAACCTCACTTCTCAGTGTAAAATCTCCTTTTCCTCTGTACAAAATCTCATTTTTAAACTTTCTTTCCCCAGCCCCTCAGTGCTCCCCTTTCCCCAGTTTTTTTTTTTTTTTTTTTTTAGGGTTGATTTTTCTCTCTCTCCTGTACCTGCTCACACCCCAGCCATGCTGGGAACTGGAATTCACCCTCATAGCTCGAATTCCCAAATTCCTGCCTGCCCTGGGAGCTGCTGCTGCCCTGGAGGTGCCTGCCTGTATTTGGAGATTTCCTTCCTTCCTTCAAAAATATCAAATACCACGATGAGTTATGCAAATGGCAGTGCTCAGAAATGCTTTTTTTAGCCCCCTTTTCTGGCGAGCTGCTTGTGGGTCATCTGAAACTTCCTTTTTTTGGGGTTTGTTTGTGGCAGAGATAAGTTTTATCTGCCTGACACTTTACTCATACAAATGCCATTCACCAGGGAGTCTGAATCAAAGACAGGCAATGTTCCCTCTCCAAAAGTTATTTTTAGAGTACTAATGTTTACTGAGAGCTCGCATTAATATTCTTTGTTCAAACTTAGCTAAATTTAGCAGCAGGCAGTTTAATAATCCTGGAGCCACGGGGGCATCATTCCCCTGGGATTGGTGAGTTCCTGGGTGCCTGCTGCAGAACGTGACTCATTTCTTCTGCAGCTTTAATCCACAATTTTAATCCTTCACTAATCATAAGACGTTGTTTATGGCACGAGCAAGGTTCCACCAAGGTTCCTCCTGCCCGGAGGCCACGTCAGAGGCAGGAAATGGGAATTATTTTCACTTGGGATTGTTGAAATTTGGGGTTGTTTATTTTTCCCAGCACTCTGGGGGTGTTGGGGGGCTCAGAGTCCTTCTCCAAGGCTGGGGAGATCCCGAAGCCTCGTGAGAACAGAGAAGAGAGGAGAACTCACCCTGACCCCCAGGGACTGCAGCAGCCCAGGACAAGGAGCACGAAGGAGTGGAAGAGCAGAGTTAATTGAGGAATATTCCAAATAATTAATTGAGGTTTGAGCGGCTGGCATCTTCTCCTGGTGGCTGCCAGCCAGGGGCTGCCACCAGCAGGGTGACATTGCCGGTGACAGCAGGTCCTGGGGGAGATGTCACATGGGGAGTTTGGACACGGCAGGGCTGGGCAGGAGCAGCTGTGCCCACCAGGGAGAAAATAACCGGGGTGTCACTGCCTTGGGAAGTGGGATCTGCCTGGAAAAGGGTCCTGGAGGGCAGGAGGGACCTCAGGGACAGAGCCCAGGAGGGGCTGGGGCTGTGCCAGGGGGTGGGGATGGATCCCAGGAAATCCATCAGGGAGACCAGGAAAAGGCTCAGGGAACTGGGATGGAGATCAGGAAAGGTTCAGAGGTTTGGGATGGATCCCAGGAAATCCATCAGGGAGACCAGGGCAGGGCTCAGGGAGTTGGGATGGAGATCAGGGAAAGGTTCAGGGAGTTGGGATGGAGATCAGGAATGGTTCAGAGGTTTGGGATGGATCCCAGGAAAGGTTCAGGGATTTGGGATGGAGATCAGGGAAAGGTTCAGGAATTTGGGATGGAGATGAGGGAAAGGTTCAGGGATTTGGGATGGATCCCAGGAAAGGCTCAGGAATTTGGGATGGATCCCAGGAAAGGTTCAGGGATTTGGGATGGAGATCAGGGAAAGGTTCAGAGATTTGGGATGGATCCCAGGAAAGGCCCAGGAATTTGGGATGGATCCCAGGAAAGGCTCAGGAATTTGGGATGGATCCCAGGAAAGGTTCAGGGGTTTGGGATGGATCCCAGGAAAGGCTCAGGGATTTGGGATGGATCCCAGGAAAGGTTCAGGGGTTTGGGATGGATCCCAGGAAAGGTTCAGGGGTTTGGGATGGATCCCAGGAAAGGTTCAGGGGTTTGGGATGGATCCCAGGAAAGGTTCAGGGGTTTGGGATGGAGATCAGGAATGGTTCAGAGGTTTGGGATGGAGATCAGGGAAAGGTTCAGAGATTTGGGATGGATCCCAGGAAAGGCCCAGGAATTTGGGATGGATCCCAGGAAAGGTTCAGGAATTTGGGATGGATCCCAGGAAAGGTTCAGGAATTTGGGATGGATCCCAGGAAAGGTTCTGCCCCCAAGGGTGGTGGGCACTGCCCGGGCTCCCCTGGGAATGGGCACATCCCCAACCCTGCCAGAGCTCCAGGAGCCTTTGGAAAACCCTCTGGAGTTGCTGTGGAACTTTGGATCCTGCTGGATTGCTGAACAGAATTGGAATCAACAAAAAGCCACGAACAAGCCCAGAACTGCACCAGGTGAGATCCAGGCGTGTGCTGGGGAGGGAGGGAATGTTCCAGCCCTTTCCCTCTTTTCCTCTCACATCATCACTTTCTTCTCCTCCCCTTGGCTGTGATTCATTGAACCCTGAAAGACGAGAGCAGTGTAAAAGTGGATATTTACTGATTTCTTGGATTTCTTGGTGCAGACAGGAGGCCTCCCCCCAGTGACTCAGCCCCAGGAGGTGAAATCATCCAGGAATTCATCCAGAGGGAAACCGAGCTGCCCAAAACCACATCTCATCTTTGGGAGGATGAAACGAGCCAGGGTGAGCCTCGTTTTTGGGAGAAATCCTCGTTATCTTCAGCTGGGAGTCTGGAGTTGTGTCTGGAGACCAGCCAGGATGGGAATATTTGGAATATTCCGTGTGGAATGAGCTTTTCCTGGAGATTGCTGCACTCAGGAGCCCCAGGGAAGAGCAGCCCGTGGGAGGAGAGATTCCAGCACTGAGGAGGTGGCAAAATGTGATTTTCACTTGTAAAAGTCAGATTGAAGTTGGAAAAGATTTTTTTTTTTTAAATTCCACACAGTTCCAAATTTAAATTCCAAGTTTTTGGGGTTTTTTGTTTGGATTTTTTTTTTTTTTTACTTCCACACAGGAACAAATTCCTTCCCCAAATCCCACCCATCCCTGCCCTCCCTGTGTCCTGTCCCTCCATCCCTTATCCCAAATCCCTCTCCAGCTCTCCTGGAGCCCCTTCAGGCCCTGCAAAACCCCAATTTGGTCACCCCAAAGCTCCCACGTGATTTTTGATGCCATAAATTGAATATTTGAGCTACAAAATTGCAACCCCAAAACAGATTTTCTATAGAAATTAAACAAAAAAGCAGAGGGGGAGCAGAAAAAAAAAAGAAATTGGTATTGATCCTGAAAGGATTTTGGTTTTTGGAAGAAAATAAAATCACAGCAAAAAAATCTGCTTCATACAAATTTACAGCACAAATGTAGCCCTAATTTAAAATTAATTTCAATTAATTTGCATTTCCTGAAAGAATTCACAGCATGACTACAGCAATGCTTGTTAGAGGATCAGACTTGTATATATTCCTATTTCCAGTTCATTAATTATGTTAATGATTGGTCTGAACCCACTCAAATTAGACATCTCACTGTAAATAGTTGGGTTTTAAATATTAAATAATATTAACTATTAATAATATTAATATTACCAATAAAAAAGGGGTTCTTGGGGTTTGGGCATTTTTCAATTTAAGTGGCTTTGGGTTGTTTTTTTTATAATTAAATTTCCAGTCATGATATTAATTGGATTATAAAAATAGATGTAAAAATAATGTGAGATTGTGTGAGATGAGCAGGGTCCTGTTCAGCTCGATAGAAACCCAAAGAAAGGAAATTTTTCCATGATTCTTTCCTAAAGCTGAGGGAAACTGGGAAAGAATCCTCCAGGAGTTATTTTAGTAAAAACACTTGGAATTTTGCAGTGTCAGAATTTCCTCTGGATGCTTTTCTTCAAGGGAACAACATCCAAACAACGAATTTCCCTCATATTTTCCACATGAAGCCAAATCCTAAATAAAATCTAGACAGGAGGAAGGGTTGGCTGAAGGATTAGTCTCATTTTAATAGAATATCCACAGATTTTATGGAATAATACAAAGCAAAACTCAGGGTACAGATGAAGAGTCTGCTAGCACAAACCACCTAATTACAACCACTGCAGAAAATGACATTTCACACCTTTGTACAGGTGGGGTTGGGCTGGAAAGGAACAAAAAAAGAACAAAAAAGGAACAAAAAAAAGAACAAAAAAACCCCTGGGATTGCGGTTTATTGTCGTGGTGAGTTCTGAACTCCACTTTGCCAAAACCTGCTGCGTTTCTGGCTGCCAGGAAGGAAGGAAAGAAGGAAATAGAAAAGAGAAAAATGTGCTTTTTGTGTTTTTTTTTGTCCCTTTCTCCTGCTCCAGGCCCATCCCAGCTCGTCACCACCAGCCTTTCCTTGACTCCTGGGTTTTTGAAATCCTCTAAAAAAGAGGATTTGTTGCCTTTAAAACCTTTTCTGCACCTCTGTGGGGAATAAAGATGGAAAAATTACCGTGAGGGAAGCTCTAAATATCCACTGACATTTACACAGCACTGGACAGAGAGAATTGGGGTGAATTCCTGCCCTGGAATCCTCAGCAGGATCCCAGCTTTGGTTCCTGTGCCTTCCTTGGGAACCACAACAAAAATTCATGGCCCAAATCTGGGTGGAAAAACCAGAAAAGCTGGAGTTTCTGGAGCTGGGGATAAATCCCCCAAGAGAGGGGAAGGGAATTCCTGCTCTGCACAGGAAGAAATTGGATTTTTTAGCTGATGTGGAGTGAATTGAGGTCCTTCAATTAAACACACAACGGGTAAAAACATCAGGATTTGGGTGAATATGGGCACAAAAGAACATTTTCTGCAGCTAAAATGACTTCCCATGGATTCACTGGGAAGAAAAAACTCTCAGGAAAAGTCAAATCCGACCAGAAAGTGCTCAGTACAATCCAGGGAAGTGAGAAATGAAGATCTTGGTGCTGCAGGGATGGTTTTTCTGGGGCACGTCTGGGGCGCTGAGCAGTCCAGCAGTATTGCTAAAGGGATGAAGTTCATTTCATTTTCTTCTTTAAACATATTTATATATTTATACACTGCTCACAGTTCTACTGGAAATGCACTTCTACCAGCAGCAGTGCAGGTTTCTCCCCATCCAGCTGAGATTTGTCACTCCACCTTTGGGACAGGGACTTTTTTTTTGGTGTTTTTTCCAAGAATTTGTAGCTTTTTGTTTTGCAACCAACACCTAAAATCACTGGTTGAAATAAGTTAATGATAATTATTTTTTTTTCTGCTATAAAATGCACTTTTGACATTTCTAATTTCTCCTTGATGGGGCTGCAGGTTCTCCTCTGTGTTAAAAGACATAAAAACTTTATCCACGTATCCATCCATCCATGAAGATAAACTTTACATGCTTAAAAAACTGTGAAAAATTAAAATCTAGTGCACACCCCTTGGGGTGCTCCATCACAAAGTGCACTTTTTGAAACAAAACAAAACCAAAAATCGCTTCCAAGACGTTAAAAATTGATTTTTTTTAATGGAAACATCTGCCCACCTCCACCTCGTGAAGGGAAATTTGGGATCTGTCCTTTTCCCAGCTGAAATTCCCTCACTCTGAAGGAATTGCTTGGAAAAAGGTGAAGTTTCATTGTCAGATCTGCTCATTCTGTATTTTTTATTTTTTCCTGGAGGTGCAGGCAGAGTGGTTTTGGGAGGGAATGAAACAACCAAAAAAGCCAATTCCATTCTGGTGTGGATCCAGAGCCCCCTCATGAAAGGAGCTTGGGATTCCTTATCTCCCACATCCATATTTTCCATCACAGCAGTATTTTTAAACGATTTTTGATGCACAAAAGTTGGATTTTGACCCCATAATTCAACATTTTATCCACTTGATTGTTGTACAATTGCAAACTTCCCCTGCAGTGCCAGCGTGGGTCACTGATGGTGGAAAAGCTGATGGTTTTCCCTCTAAATCCATAAAAACAAAGGGAAAAAAGAAAAAGAAAATCAACTTGAAGCTGAACTTGAGGAGCTTTGTGATTGTTCATGGCCAGAAATAATTGGTTTAATCAGCATAGTCCTTCCCTCACCCCTGGGACAGAGGCAGTGGCAGGGATCCCAGCTCTGCTGAGGGAATTTGGGAATTCCTGGCTGCTCTTTCTGCCTCCAGGCAGAGCTGGGAGCTCAGGACAGCACGGAGGTGTCACCTGCAATGAACCTGAGCTCCAAAACACCTGAGGGCTCCTCTGGCCTCCAAGCACAGAATTCCTCGTGAAATCCCAGACTGGGTTGGGTTGGAAAGGACCTTAAATCCCACCCAGGCTGCTCCAAGCCCCTTCCAACTTGGAATATTTTATCAATAATTGGTTTATAATGAGCTTGGTTGGTGCTTTTTATTTTTTTTTTTTTAGGTGGAATGTGGGATTTATTTTTTTTTTTTTCCATCTTCAGCCCTCTGGGTTGGTGCTGTGGGTGCAGTGCACTGCTTTCCATCCGTGGCTGGAGTGTGTGAGGAGAACATCCCAAATGAGAATTTCAGGTTAAAAAGCACTTCTGGTTCTTCCTTGGAGCACCCAGGGGAAGGAGGATCTCATCCAGAGTGGTTTTGTTCACTGAAAGGAGGAGAAAAGCAGCTTTGTGTGTCCAGAGGAGCCATCCCCACCTTCAGGAAAAACCCTGCTTTGCCAGAATTCTCCTTGAAGTGAAGAAATGGGCAGGGAATTCTCCACCTGCAGTGTTTGAGAGGGGTTTTACCTGATCATGGAATCAGGGAACCCTGGAATGATTTGGAGGGAGCTGAAATCCCCCCCAGGGCCACCCTGCCGTGGCAGGGACACCTCCACTGTCCCAGCTGGCCTTGGGCACTTCCAGGGGTCCATCCCAAGGCCATGCCAGCTGGTTCTGCCTCTGAAATCAGGAATTTCCAAAGAATTTCGGCCAGAATTTGTTCCTTCATTTCTTTCCCCCCTCCTTTGCTCCTCACCAGCCCAAATCCCAAATTCCGAGGGTCAAAGTCCCACCTGAGCCCCAGCAGCCACCCCTGTGTCCTGCACTCTCCGTGGGGACATTCCAGGCTGGAATGCTGCTGGGATGAGCGTTTCCCTGCTGAGGGAACCCTCCCAAAATTTCAGCAGCTCCCGGGAGGCGTCGATTGTCCAGCGGCGCCGCGTCGAGACGGAGACAAGGCCCGGAGAACTTCCCTGTGCTGGAAATCTCCTTCCAAACCCCGACCCTCTGGGGTGTGTGCCCTCGGGAGAAGGTCCTTTGGGATCCCTTCAGAGTGCCTCACACACCTGGATGGGATAAACCAGGAAAAAAACGTGGAAAAACCATGGCAAAACCGCGGGATTTCCTGCTGGGAATGAGTTGCAGAGTGAGGGTGGAAGCTGGCAGTGCTGCCCAGGCTGTGGGCACCTGGAATCTTCAGGAGGAGACTCACACTGGCTGGAAAAAGGAGGGGAAAGCTCTTCCCATTGCCTGTGGTCGTTATTCCCGGGGGTGGCAGCTTTTGGGGTGTCCTGGAGGAACTGGGGGTGCAGCTCAAAGCAAGAGGGCTCCGCGCTGGCCAGCAGCGACTGAAGGGTTTGTACTTGAAACCAAAAATAAATTCTCTTTCTGGGCTGGAGATTCATGGACTGGAGGATGCTCTTGACTTACTCCAAGGATACACAGTGAGTATTTGCCCTGTGCCAATGCTCTCCACAGACCATTCCCTAAACACACCAGAACCTGTCCTCTAAAGTGCTGCTCTGGCTTCGTTTTCTGGGGGAGGGGGTTGGTTTGGTTTTTGTTCTTCTTTTTTTCTTTTCTTTTTTTTTTTAAAAGGAAAGTGATTCCCAAAAGGTTGAAGGACTTTGCATCCTGGAGGCAGAGGAGGCAGGCTCCAGGGTTTACAGGACTTGGAAGAAGGTGGTGGCAAGCTCTTGTCCCCAGAGGTCGCTGAGGTGGGTGACTGCCAGGCTGCTCCTTCTGCTCCATTCCTCGTGCTGCTCCCACTCACGACATGCTGGGCAGAGAAAAGAGACAGGAGGGATTGTCAGGCAGCAAACTGAGGTAAAAAATGTGATTGTTGCCACCACACCAACCAAAAAAAAAAAATAAATGAGTGGATTTGGGTGAAATGGTTCACAGAAGTGTGGTGGGGACACTGGTGGTGGCAGTCATGGCTCTCGTGGGCAGAGGGGACAATGTGACACCAGGCTGGGGGATCCTGGGCCTAAGCCAGGCTTGGCTTTCCTGGCCATGGATCACAAATGGCACAGGATGTGTCCCAGCCACACAAAGAGCTCAAACCTGGTCTCCTGATCCTCTGCTGGGGCCATGGGCCTGCTGCAAAGAGATAATAAAAATAAATAAACCTCCAGCACATAAAAAATGATAAATCTCCAGCACAAACCAATCTCTGCCCTGAGCTCCTGGACGTTTCTTGGGATATTTCAGCCTCATCCAGGGGATCTTTCCCTGTTCCCCTCAGGAATCAGAATAAGCAGAGAGGCTGTATCCCTCTGATCGGGCCACGTTATCCTGCTGAAGGATTTTATCTTCCAAACCCCTCCAGAATTTCTCTTCCCCACAGTTCCAGCCTTTATCAGCTCCTGAACTCTCTGGGATTGTCCTGGTGGATCCCAGGGGTGCTCCCAAGCTGTGGGGCTGCTCTTATCCCCAAAGGCTCTTCAAGGGAAGGGTAAATCAGAGGAAAGGGTAAATCAGAGGGAAGGGTAAATCAGAGGGAAGGGTAAATCAGAGGGAAAGATAAACCAGAGGGAAAGATAAACCAGAGGAAAGGATAAATCAGAGGAAAGGGTAAACCAGAGGAAAGGGTAAATCAGAGGGAAAGATAAACCAGAGGAAAGGATAAATCAGAGGGAAGGGTAAATCAGATGGAAGGGTAAATCAGAGGGAAAGATAAACCAGAGGAAGGGTAAATCAGAGTCCTTACCTTTCCCTCTCAGCCATGTCTTGCTTCTCCTCTGCCCTGTAAACACAAATCCCATGGGAATCCATCCCTCAGTGGGAAGGAGGGACACCCCAGTGCCTTTCTGGGGCCTTGGAGAGGAGCCACTCTCCATCCCTCCCCAAATTCATCTTACCTTTCTTTCCTGGCCTTGATCCTCTCTTCTTCATACCTGCAACAAAGACAAAACATCTTTTAGCTGCTGCTGTTCCCTTTTGGTGCCATGTGGTGTTTGCTGAGGGTGGCAGAAGCTCCGGGCTGCCACAGCCTGAGGCTCTTCCTTGGCTGAGACCAGGTTTGCCCAGGCTCTGCCTTCCCCAGCCCATGGATTTGGGGTTGTGTGCTGCCCTCCCCGGAGCCCCCAGGGTCCCTGTGGCACTCACTGCAGGACACAGTCTGGGATCTGCACGTGCTCCATGGGGATGAGCTGCTCCAGCTCCTCCAGGGTGTGGACGTACTGGATTTTATTGATGAACTTCACACTGGCACAGAGAGACACAGAGAGGAGCAGTGCCACCCCAGTGGCTCCTAAAAACACCTCTGGAGGGGTCACTGGAGGGATCTGAGGGATGGAGGACAAGTGACAGCTCCACCCTGGTCACCCCTGGCTGAGGGTGAGCTTAAAATCTGATCTGTGAGATTAAACCTCAGGGAAGGGCTGGGGCTGTGCCAGGGGGTGGGATGGAGATCAGGGAAAGGTTCAGGGATTTGGGATGGATCCCAGGAATGTTCTTCCCCCCGAGGGTGCTGGGCACCGCATTCCCAGCCCTGCCAGAGCTGCAGGAGCGCTGGGACCGCTCTGGGACAGGCTGGGATTGTTGGGGTGCCTGTGCAGGGGCTGGGGCTGGGCTGGATGATCCCTGTGGATCCCTCCAAACTGAGGATGCTCTGTGATTCCAAAACCCCACCCCAAAGCCTGCTGTGCTCACCTGATGAAGGGTCTGGAGATGGCCAGCACGGTCCGGATGAACCACGAGGGGTGCACGATGATCAGGGCCTTGAGGTTCTTCCTCAGCCTGGGGACGAGTCAGGGGACACAGTGTCACATTCCAAGGACATTTCCTAAACTGCCCTGTGCTGTGCTGGGCTCTGGCAGGAGCTGCCCAGCCTCAGCTGGGGCTGTCCAGGTAAAACCCCTTGGGAAGCTGATCCCAGCCCAGCAGGATATGGAGCACTGCTCTGCTCAGCTCTCTATAATATCATTTATAATGATATTATAATATCATTATAAATCAAAATATTCCTGGAGAGGGCTTGGAGCAGCCTGGGCTAGTGGAAGGTGTCCCTGGCCATGGCAGGGGAGTGCAAGGAGGTGACTTTGAGGTCCATTCCAGCACCTGGGAGGTGTGAGGAATGTGGGACTGGCTCAGACTCATTCCTGTTGAAGAGCAGCATCTGATTTTCCTATGAAGAGTCCTGGGAATGATGGATGGGCCTCACCAGCAGGATTCTCACCTTCTGTCAATCATCTGGTAGCATTTCTTGAGCCAGCCCAGGCCGGGCATCCTCCTGCGGGGCGTGGCCCCGTTCAGGTACACGATCATGTAGTCCTCGGCCACCAGCAGCTCCAGGCTGCTGATCACATACCTGCCAGGGGGGAGCAACAGGAACCCGAGTGAGACCCCAGAAACATCCTCTAGATTCCTTCAAGTGCTCTGAAACAGCTCCAGGCCCTTTCTTTGCAGGGCTGGGAAGGGGTTTGGCGTCCCGGGGTGTCCCTCAGTTTGTGCCCTGCTCCATTCCCTGCCCAGCAGCTCCAGCCTGGATCTGATTCCATCCTGGCCATAAATAACCGGAATGTTTGAACGCTTGGGTGTCACCATCACATTTTCTGAAAAATCCTCTTTGCCCAGGATTCTTCTCCTGGGAAGCTGAGAAGCCTCAGAGAAAAAGGAAAACAATAATTATCTGATTGCTTCTGCTGTGTTTTGCTGCTTTGGGATGTGGTTGGAGATTGTTTATCCAACATGTGAATTGTTTTGACTTAATGACCAGTCACATCTCTGGAGAGAGAGTCAGGAGTTTTCATTGTTATCTTTTAGCCTTCTGTCTGTGTCCTTTCTCTATTCTTTAGTATAGTTTGGTACAGTATAGTACAATATAATATAATAAGTATAATTAATGTAGTATAATGTAGTGTAATGTAGTATAATGTATTATAATGTAGTATAATGTAATATAATAATATAATATAATATAATGTAATATAATTAATGTAATAGAACAGAACACAATAGAATAGAATAGAATAAAGGTAATGTGATATAATATAGTATAATTAATGTAATAGAATAGAATAGAATAGAATAGAATAAATGTAATGTAATATAATATAATAAAATTAATGGAATAGAATAGAATAGAATAGAATAGAATAGAATAGAATAGAATAGAATAGAATAGAATAGAATAGAATAGAATAGAATAGAATAGAATAGAATAAAGGTAATGAATATAATATAATATAATATAATATAATATAATATAATATAATATAATATAATATAATATAATATAATATATAATGTAATATAATGTAATGTAATGTGATATAATATAATAATGTCATATCTATCATATCATATAATAAAATAATAAATTAACCTTCTAAAAACATGGAATCAGATTCATTCCTTCCTGCCACAGGGGACCCCAGAAAATGCCACACTTGGCCTTGCTGGACTCGGAACTGGTGCCAGTGTCCCACCAGTGCCACCAGCTCCAGCCTGGCCCTGGCTCACATCCCGCCTGCTCCCAGCTGGCATTCCTGGTGCCACCAGCACGGGAGCTGCCCTCAGCCCGCTGTCCCTGCCAGGGCACTCACAGGAAGAGGTTTTCCATGATGTAGTGGTAATCAGCCAGGTTGCTGTCCGGGAGGTAGCAGGCAGCAAAGACGATGATGGCGTTCAGGCCTTCTCCGTAGTATCCTGCCAAAAAAAAACCAAACAAAACACAAAAGTGACACTTTCCAGGGAAAATGGGACAGCTGAAGGAAAAACAGCACCGAAAGTTGGCCCTGCGGTGGTTTTTGTGTCTCTGCTCAGCTCCAAGAGGGAGTTTCTCTCTTCAGACGTCTCCACTGTGAGATTTCCTCCTGGGTTTGGTTATAACGTCCCACAGAAGGGATTTGGGGGTTTTAAAGCTGGGTTCTTCCTTGGCTTTGCTTGGATTTTGGAAACAGACCTGGCTGCACACGTGTGGGCCCTGGAGCACCTCAGGGACTGGCACAGATGGAAATTCCACAACCACTAAATATTTTATCACCATCTGAGCACTTTTGCGCTTCTCTGCTGCACCTACCAAAAACCCCAAAGATTTTCCCCAAAGATGATTTTCCCCCTAAACAGCGTCCAGCCAGCCTTGGTGTCCCCTCCAGCGTGACACAGAGGGACAAAGCCACCGGGGCTGTGGGCTCACCTCCGTGTGTCACCACCCTCATGTAGGGTTTGATCATCTGCAGGTCGATCCTGTGCTCCTGCTCGCCGATGATGACGGTTCTCCAGAGGCGGCCGTTGGTGGCACTGCCATCCTCTGTCCCCCCGTCCCCAAACAGGTCTGCGCTGTCCCCGGGCATGTTCTTGGCCGTGGCCACGGGGGTGTCATCTGGGAAAGGGACAAAGAGTTCTGCCTTGAGGAGAAACTGGGAAGAGCTTTGGGGGACCCCCAGGGACGAGGCTCTGATGGGGGTTTCACCTCCAGCCTTGGTCTGGGCCAATTTATTCATCAATTTTCTTTTGCTAACACATAAAAAAAGATGTAATAACTTTGAAAAATAAAGTATAAATTGTATACATTTGTATAAATTTGTCTAACCATTTTCTAGCCCTTTGTATAAATTTGCCCAACCATTTTCTACCCCTTAGTATAAATTTCTCTAACCATTTTCTACCCCTTAGTATAAATTTCTCTAACCATTCAGAAAAGGGCACGATCCCACAGGTTTTAACCTTGCTCTGCTGTCCAAATATTCCAGAAATAACTTTAAAATCTCCCTCTTCTTATCAGTCCTCAGCTGCTGGTGGTGAATTGTGTCAAAAATCTTCAAAGTGAGGCTAAAAACCACCCCAACCCCTGGAAAAGTTCACCCAGAAGCAGCTTTTTACCTTCCCATTCCAGCTCGTTGCCATTGCCCAGGAATTCCAGGGAATCTGTCTCATCAGGAGTCTCAATGTCATCCACATTAATGTCCAGGTCATCTGGGGTGTCCAGGAAGTCGTCGGAGAGGATGGAGCCCTCGCTCTGGTCCAGGGAAATGTTGATTTCGGGTGCAACCAGGGTCTTCCTCTTCCGATGGGCCCCGTTAAAGTTCAAAGTGTTGGGGGGAGCTGGAGTTCAAAGGAAAATAAAACTGACAGGGTGTGTGTAGTTTGGACAGAATTGTGTGGTCTCACAAGGCAAAAAAACCTTAGATTTCAGGTTTTAGTGTATAGTAATACATAGAAGCCAAGATAGAGAATTTTGGGTGTAGGTTATTTGTCTTTTTTACACCTTCTTCTTCCTTCTTCTTCAGTTTTCTGTAATTAGGTAAAAGATGCTTGTGCTGCAGGTTTCAAGTAATCATAATTGAGTTAGAAGCATAAAGAATATAGATATCAACTGTTTATTAAACAATTAAGACTTAAATAGCCTTGAATAAACACCATTTTAGCTCACTTTCTCGACTGGTTAGAGAGAGCTCACATCTCATAGGTTTGCAATAAATAAAGATAATAAACTTCAATGCCAATGTCTCCTGAGTTTTCACCCTGACCTTAGAACAAGAAAGAGCCTGGCATTCCAACACGTGGTGCTGCTCCTGGATCCACAGGGCAGGGCATCCTCATGGATAATTCCTGAGGGAACACGGACCTGGAGCCCTCAGGGTGGTGGGTCAGACTGGGAGCACTGGGATGGAAATCCCAATTTCCTCCCCCAGCTTCTCAGGAGAGATGAACAACTTCAAATCCCTGCTGGTTTCCTCTCCCACGTGAGAATTTTTTATTTTTATTTTTATTTTTATTTTGGTGGAGAATCCAAGGTTTTCTGCTCTGGGCTCTGCAGAAGTTGGTACTTACAGGACGTGGTCTCGTCTTCCGTGGGGCTTCCCAGTGACTCCATCCCTGTTTCTTCTGGGAGAGGCCTGCAGGACAGGAGGGACAAAAACACAGCAGAGAGCAGGGGAAATGTAGAGGAAAATCATCCTGAGGGAATGGAGACTGAAAAAGCCCAGCCCCACCTGTGCTCTGCCCTTTCCCTGCTCTCACCCCGAGGGATTCCCTCAGGAATGTGCCCGGGAGCAGCCCAGGCCTGGGCTTCCCTCCTGGCGTGCTCTGCAATCCCCACTAACCTCCCAAGGGATGAAAAACCCAGCCAGGGAACAAATCCAGAGCCCCAGATGACCTTGGCAACACCCTCCTTGTCTGTATTATCCCCATTTTCCCTCTGCAGGAACTCTGAGGGGCAGTGCCCAGCCCTGGGGCTCCTCGTTAGGGCACCCCCTGTGCCCAGGGCTGTATCCCTGTTCCTGGCAGAGCTCTGGGATGGGCACGACCACGGGGAGGGATGATTTCACCCCAGTCCAGCACAGCTTTATCCACAACTTCCACAGCTCCACAACTTCCACAGCTTCCCCAGGAATCTCCTTGGTGCTGGCTCTGCCTGGGACCCATGACCCCAAATTGTCACCTCAGCCCCCACTGGGTGACTCCCAGCCCCTGCTGAGGGTCGGAACCGGGTTCATTCCGTGCTAAAATCCAGGCATCAGCATCCAATCCCTATTTTTTGGAGCCCCCCTTCCTTTCCTGGGGTTTGCAGCCTCTCAGCTCCTGCACCCTCCTGGCTCAGATCAGGCATCCACGGATTGAAAAGTTTTCCTTGCTAAAATCAACCCCCAGGGCACAGCTGGCACCCTTTGGCAGCTGCTGGAGCTGCTCCTGCCCCACACTGGGCTGAGAAAAGTGGGAATTTGGATTTGCCGTGCCTGAGCCTCCCCCTGGGCACTCCCGGATGCTTTTCCCCTTAACAGGAGCTGGGACTTGTTCTGCCCGCTGGAATTATCAGCGTTTGACATTTCTTCACCAAAACCCCACAAACTCCACCGATCCACGCTGTGAAATCTCTGTTTGAGACACCTCCCTCCCGTCAGCTCCCCCTGCCCAGGGAGGAGCTGTCAAATCCTGCTGCTGGGACAGGAGCAGGGACAAACGCGGGGATGTGCAGGATGAGGATGACGAGGATGAGGATGAGGATGAGGATGCCCAGCAGCCTGATGGCCCCGCGACACAGGAATGGAGGGAGGTGACAACGGGGACAGGACCCAGCCCGGCTCCTCTCCCCGCTGCCACCAGCCCAATTAAACCCTATAAATATGTAGATTAAGGGATAATCCTCCGCCGCTGCTCACTGCATATTTATGAGAGCTCAGCACCGATCAAAGGCACGTGCGGGACCCCGGGGGCTGCCCGGACCCTCCGGAGCAGAGGAAACCCCCCCGTGCCCCCTCAGCTCGCCCCGTCCCGTGCCCACCGGGGCTGGCGGTGTTTATCCCGGGAGCTGGCGCCTGGCACGGTTTGGTGACACAGCATCCAGCTGGGGAAGGAGGGAGGGAGGGCAGGGGGGGCACTGCTGCCGGGTACGTGCTGCTGAGCCCGGGCTGCAGCTCCGGCTGGAAAAGGAAGGAAAAGCCTGGCTTACCTTCCCCGAGGCTGCTGCGATGCCATCGCTGCCTCCTCCCGCAGAACCCTCCTGCCCCAGCGCGCTCAGCCCCCCGGGCCAAATTCGGGGGGAGCAGCGCTGCTGAGAGCCGGGGCTTTGCTCCGTGCCCGTGCCCGTGCCCCGTGCCCCGTGCCCGTGCCCCGTGCCAGCCCCTGCTGGCAGCGATGGAGCGGGCACGGCGGGGAGAGAGGCGGGAGGGATGCAGGGATGGATTCTGGGTTGGATGCAGGAATGGATGAAGGAGGGATGCAGGAGGGATGCAGGAAGGATGCCGGGATGGATGCAGGAATGGATACAGGGATGGATTCTGGGTTGGATGCAGGAATGGATGCAGGAGGGATGCGGGAAGGATGCAGGGATGGATGCAGGAATGGATGCAGGAAGGATGCAGCGATGGATGCAGGGATGGATGCAGGAGTGAGCATGCTCCCGCTCCGCGCCACCCGCTCCCCGGTTACGGCATCCCCGCCCCGGGCCGGCCGAGCCGGGCCGGGATCAACGCCGGGCGGGTTCCCTCCCTCCGCGGCCCCGGCTCCGGGAATGTCGCCCCGTGCCCCAAGGAGCGCCTGGGTTCTGTTTTTTTCTGTTTTCCCGGCCCGGATCTCTGTCTAGGATGTGGTTTTTTCTTTCCTTTTTTTTTTTTTTTTTTTTTTTTTTTTTTTTTTTGGCTAATGGCAGGCAGGCAAAAATAGCTCTGCAGCAAATCAGCTGCTGGAGAGCGGCTGTCCCACATGCAGCAGCTTCTGCCCTATTATTCCAATGCTTCCAGCGGGGAAGCGGCTGCAAAAGGACAATTTATTTATTTTTACTGCGAGTAGAACCCAGCTGGCTTTCCCTCGTTTGCCTGGGGGCTGTTTGGGCTCTGTCTCGCATCCTTCCTGCTCCAATCCCTCCGGAGGAGGCTCCTCCCAAGGGCTCGGCCTCATCCCGCCCCGCTCACATCCCTCTGCTTCTTCCCTGTGCTCATTTCCAGGGCATTTTTCCTGGAAAAATCCCTTTCCCAGGGATTTGGTGGTGCTGGGGGCTTTCCAGGAGAATTCTCCCTGGAAGGCTGGGCCGTGGTTTGCTGCTGGCACGGGCAGTGTGGGACAGAGCTCCCAGGTGATGCCTGCCTTGCTGCCGAGGCGTCCCAGAGCCAGACCAGATTTATCCTGGATTTTCTAGGGAGCTCTGGGACAATATTTTCCTTCCTACACCTGGATTTCCTGTCTCTGTTCTCTGAGCAGCCTGGTCTGCTGGAAGGAATCCCCACCTTTGGAAGGGAGATGAGTTCTAAGGAAGCTTCCAACCCATACCATTCCACGATTCCCATCCCTCCATCCATCCATCCATCCGTCCATCCATCATCCATCCCTCATCCATCCATCTCCATCCCTCCATCCATCCTTCCATCCATCATCCATCCACCCTCCATCCATCTGTCCATCCATCCATCCATCCGTCCATCCATCATCCATCCCTCATCCATCCATCTCCATCCCTCCATCCATCCTTCCATCCATCATCCATCCACCCTCCATCCATCTGTCCATCCATCCATCCATCCGTCCATCCATCATCCATCCCTCATCCATCCATCTCCATCCCTCCATCCATCCTTCCATCCATCATCCATCCACCCTCCATCCATCTGTCCATCCATCCATCCATCCGTCCATCCATCATCCATCCCTCATCCATCCATCTCCATCCCTCCATCCATCCTTCCATCCATCATCCATCCACCCTCCATCCATCTGTCCATCCATCCATCCATCCGTCCATCCATCATCCATCCCTCATCCATCCATCTCCATCCCTCCATCCATCCTTCCATCCATCATCCATCCACCCTCCATCCATCTGTCCATCCATCCATCCATCCGTCCATCCATCATCCATCCCTCATCCATCCATCTCCATCCCTCCATCCATCCTTCCATCCATCATCCATCCACCCTCCATCCATCTGTCCATCCATCCATCCATCCGTCCATCCATCATCCATCCCTCATCCATCCATCTCCATCCCTCCATCCATCCTTCCATCCATCATCCATCCACCCTCCATCCATCTGTCCATCCATCCATCCATCCGTCCATCCATCATCCATCCCTCATCCATCCATCTCCATCCCTCCATCCATCCATCATCCATCCCTTTCTTTCCCCCACTCCTCTCTCCTTTTACCCCACCAAAACCCAGGCTGGCAGAGCTCCAGCAGCCGTGCCCTGGGAGGGAATTTCACAATTTCCCCCCCCCTGGGAAGGGCTGAGCCCCCCAGGAGGCAGAGGAAGGACAAACCCCGTCCTGTGGGCTGCAGCACAGAGGGGCTCACACAGAGGGGACGCAGCTGGGGCTGGAACGAACAGAGCCAGGCTCATCCCGGGGGAACAGGAGCCCCTTTCTCTGTGCCTGGCAACGCTGGGGCTCTGTGGCTGCAGCTGCAGGGGGCTGGGCCAGCCCTGAGAGCCCCCGGGCACCTGCAGCTCACAGAATCACAGAATCACAGAATTTCTAGGTTGGAAGAGACCTTTAAGATCATCGAGTCCAACCCGTGTTCCAACACCTGGGCCCAGCAGGATCCAGAGCCAGCTCCCAGAACTGGCAGCGTTGGAAGGGAGCTGTGAAATCCCCCCCAAAAAGCCACCCCAGTGCTGCCCAGGAAGGGCCACCTGGAGCAGGGATGAGTCCAGGTGGGTTTGGGATGGAGAGGGAGAACCCACACCCGGCCCGGGCAGCTGGGAGTGGGAACGAGCTGGGAATGGGGGTGGGAATTCACTGGGGATGGAGGTGGGAATTCTTTGCTGGGGATTCAGAGCACTGGGGATGGGTTTTGGCACCCCTGTGCAGCTGCTGAAGGGGGAAGGTGCCACTTTGGCACCTCCTGTCAGCCCCACAGGGCTGGCACCCACTGGGATTCGCTGCATCCCTGTGGGAAATTCCTGGCACAGCAGCACTGCTCTGTTTGGGACTCAGCTGGATTCAGAGCCTGGGAAGGAGTCCACAAATCCATAAATCCACTCCCACGTGCATCCATCCACCCTCCATCCCTCTGTCCATCCTAACCTCCCTGTGCTCCATGCCCAGCTCCTTTCCCTGCTTCCCGTGCCCACACAGGGCTGCCAAAACCAAACGTGCCAAAAACAAACGTGCCAAAAACAAACGTGCCAAAAGCAAACATGCCAAAAGCATCCCCAAATTTTTGATGCCCTCAGAGCAGCTCCAAAAATTTCCAACCCTCGTTGGAGTTCAGGCTCCTGTTGCTTCTAAGGCTTTGGGATGGACCCTCCCACTCTGATGGTCTCTCACGGGAAAAAAATAAATAAAATTCTCCCGGTTTTGTTCTGTTTTTTTTGGGGAACACACCTGGGGAAGTCCTCGTCCTGCCATTCTTCCTTGACATCCACGTTCTCCATCCTCAGCGTGGCCTCCGTGGTGCCCATGGCTCTCGGGGAGGGGCTGGAGGCAGCAGATCCCCCCAGGAAGGGCTCAGGCTGGAAAGGGGAGGCACAGAGGTTGGCACGGAGCATCCCCAGCTGGCAGCAGCCACACTCCTTGGGAAAGCAGGCTGAGAGTGGGCTTGTTTGGGAAAAAAAAGCAGTGAAATTTTGGATTCTTGACACGTTTTGGGCCAGAAGGAGGAGGTGGGAGCTGTGGGTCTGTTTGGACCCAGATGCTCACCCACGTTTTCCCCTTCTTGCTTCTCCTCCAAGGCCAATTTCCTCACCAATCCCTCTCTGCTGAGGAAAAGGGGATGTAGCTGAGAGGCCAGAGCAGTGTCACCCTGATTTTTAAGTTTTTCTAAGCTTTCTGATGTTTACATTCTTATAACGAACTTTCTCACACACTTTATACCAATAACTTATTGATTTACATTCTTTTATAGAAGAAAAAAAAAATTTAATAAGCTGTTAGTTTGTCCTGTGTCATTGGAGAGGTGGCACTTCCACCCTCCAATCCACTGTCACTTTTAGAAATCTATAAATGTTAAAGTCATAAATTAAAAAATCCCTTTTTACCTTAAAAAAGCAGTGTGTTATTTCGTGCCCTGGGGCATTCCCAAATCCACATTTCTGGGTGGGATGGAAGGCACCAGCCCTGGTTGTGCAGAGATTCCTGTCCCTGCTGCGTGTCCCTGTCCCAGGGATGTCCTTCTTCCCCCGGGGAGCCCCAATCCTGCCTTGCTCCAGCTGATCCAAACCCCTGGAGCAGCTCAGCCAAAGGCTGGGGCTGTGTTCCAGTATTGCCTCTCTTGGGAATGAGCTCAGATCCAAAATTCCTGCATTTCACCCACACTGCACCCCAGGGGCCTTTAGAACCACATATATATATAAATAATTTTTAATTTTTTTTTTTTTGCTGTACAGACAGAGAAATTCAAACCTTTGCACCAAACTCCTGCAGCTCCCAGCAAAGCCCAGCTCAGGATTTTCCCAGTCCAGGGAGAGCAGATCCCCATTCCCAGGTGGATCCTGCCCCGAGGGAGCAAGGCCAGGCTGGATCTGCTCTGGAACATCCTCAGGGGGAATCAGCTCCTGTGCTGGGCCCAGCATCACCCACCCACTGCAGGCAGGGCTGGGATGCTCCCCTGAGCTCAGCCCTCACTCTGGGATCATTCCCAGCCCTGGGAACATTTAGGAATATATTTTTTTTTGTTCAGGATGAGGGGTCTGGGGTGGTTCCTGGGGCTGCTCTGTCCATGCCCAAGAGCAGAGTCTGCCCATGGCTCTTCCCAGGGTTTTTCCTGGAGGAGACAAATCCAGGAGTGTTTGCCTTGAAGGGAGGAACCTGTGCTCAGGATGAGCCTGAGGCCCGAGCAAATCCAGCATCCCTCTGTATTCCAGGGGCTGGGATCAGCAGGGCCGGCTGCCAGCACTGCAGGGCTCCCTCCCTGCTGGCATTCCTGGGACTGGCATTGACATTCCCAGGATTATTGGCATTCCCAGGATTATTGGCATTCCCAGGCCTGCCATTCCCAGGATTATTGGCATTCCCAGGATTATTGGCATTGCCAGGATTGCCATTCCCAGGATTACTGCCATTCCCAGGCCTGCCATTCCCAGGATTATTGCCATTCCCAGGCCTGCCATTCCCAGGATTTCCATTCCCAGGATTATTGCCATTCCCAGGATTATTGGCATTGCCAGGATTGCCATTCCCAGGATTACTGCCATTCCCAGGCCTGCCATTCCCAGGATTATTGCCATTCCCAGGCCTGCCATTCCCAGGATTTCCATTCCCAGGATTATTGCCATTCCCAGGATTATTGCTATTCCCAGGATTGCCATTCCCAGGATTACTGCCATTCCCAGGCCTGCCATTCCCAGGATTTCCATTCCCAGGACTATTGCCATTCCCAGGATTATTGCTATTCCCAGGATTGCCATTCCCAGGATTACTGCCATTCCCAGGATTGCCATTCCCAGGATTATTGCCATTCCCAGGCCTGCCATTCCCAGGATTTCCATTCCCAGGATTATTGCCATTCCCAGGATTATTGCTATTCCCAGGATTGCCATTCCCAGACCTGCCATTCCCAGGATTATTGCCATTCCCGGACAGACCCAAGGATCCTCTCCTGCCTCCCTCCCTGCCTTCCTCCCCCATCCACCCCCGGCTCTGGAAAATCCCGCTCCCCGCCGGCCCCGCAGCATCATGGAGGGCGAGGAGAAGGAGCCGAGCCCAGCCCCGCACTCACCGCTCACAGGGGAACAAAGGCCAGCCTTCCTCCCCGCCGGCTCGGCATTCCTCCTCCTCCTCCCGAGCGCTGCGGCTCAGCAGGTGCGGCTCCCGGATGGCGACGGGGATGAGGATGAGGATGGAGGAGCGTGGCGATGCATCTAGGTCGGCTTTGCCCGCGGCAGCCGCTGCTCTGCGGCTGGCTGGGCAGCAGGGATGTGCTGAGGGAGATATTTGTGTTCCTTCAAAGCTGTGCTGCTCCCTGGGCAGCAGGGATGTGCTAACAACAGCAGGGACGGGCTGAGGGCGATATTTGTGTTCCTTCAAAGCTGTGCTGTTCCCTCGGCAGCAGGGACGGGCTGAGGGCGATATTTCTGTTCCTCCGTGGCTCCCTCGGCAGCAGGGCTGTGCTGAGGGCGATCTTTCTGTTCCTCCGTGGCTCCCTCGGCAGCAGGGATGTGCTGCGGGCGATATTTCTGTTCCTCCGTGGCTCTGCTGCTCCCTCGGCCTCCCCTCCGCCGCGCTCGGCGATGGCTGCGCTCCCCAAATCAGCTCCTTCCCTGCTTTTGTGCCAGAGCGGGGTCTGCAGGAGGGGAGGGACGGCAGAGGAGCCCTCCCTGTGCCAGCGCGGCTCCAATCGGATGCCAGGCTCCAAATCCGTGCCCGGCAGGGGGGATGGAGCTGCCAGGGATGGGCACAGCCTCTGCCCGCAGCATCCCTGGGAGTGGGAATTGGGATTTGGGAGCATCATTCCCTGAAAGAGTGAAAGGTGCCTGGGATGTGGGATTTGGGAGCATCATTCCCAAGAGAGGGAAAGGTGCCCGGGATGTGGGGTTTGGGATTTGGGTGCATCATTCCCCGAAAGAGGGAAAGGTGCCTGGGATGTGGGATTTGGGATTTGGGAGCATCATTCCCCGAAAGAGGGAAAGGTGCCTGGGATGTGGGATTTGGGAGCATCATTCCCAAGAGAGTGAAAGGTGCCTGGGATGTGGGATTTGGGATTTGGGAGCATCATTGCCTGAGAGAGGGAAAGGTGCCTGGGATGTGGGGTTTGGGATGTGGCTGTATCATTCCCTAAAAGTGAAAGGTGCCTGGGATGTGGGATTTGGGATTTGGGGGCATCATTGCCTGAGAGAGGGAAAGGTGCCTGGGATGTGGGGTTTGGGATGTGGCTGTATCATTCCCTAAAAGTGAAAGGTGCCTGGGATGTGGGATTTGGGATTTGGGAGCATCATTGCCTGAGAGAGGGAAAGGTGCCTGGGATGTGGGGTTTGGGATGTGGCTGTATCATTCCCTAAAAGTGAAAGGTGCCTGGGATGTTGGATTTGGGATTTGGGGGCATCATTGCCTGAGAGAGGGAAAGGTGCCTGGGATTTGGGATTTGGGGGCATCATTCCTCAAGAGAGTGAAAGGTGCCTCCCTCCGATCCTGGGGGAATTCACCGAGCACGCTCTGCCTCAGCCCAGCTCCTCTGGCCATGGAAAATGTTCTTTTTGGGACTCCACTTTCCCCAGGGATGCTGAGGTGTCCCCGGCTGCACTGAGGAGCTTTTCCAGCGCTGCCATCCCGGGAATTCTGTGCTGAGCTCAGCTCGGGCCGGTCTGGAGGGGAGGGAATGGCCGGGGCAGGGCTGGACCCCTCCCGGTGCCGGATGCTTTCCCAAGCAGGTTTTTTTACCTTTTCCCATGCTCTCCTTATTCCTCCTCATGCACTTTGCCCTGGAATATATATATATATTTGGTGTTTTTTTAAATTTTATATTTATATAATTTATAATATAATTTTTGTGTTACCTGACAGGGTGTTTTCCCCAAACTGTGTTTTTCTCTCCTCCCTGAAGGGGAGGAAAGGACTGGGTCACACTTTGGAGAGACGCTGCCCGTCACGGGAACATCCTCCTTTTATTTCCCTGGATTTGCTGCTCATTTTCAGGCAGTGCTGATCGAGACCCAGAGCCCCTAAATCCCTTTTCTGCCTGGGAAAATCTGGGGTGTCAGCGGCTCTTGGAGAGGCTCCGGAGCCGTGGGAGGGTGGGGGATCCATCCCAGCCATGGATCCACCCCAGAGGATCCATCCCAGCCATGGATCCACCCCAGAGGACGTGTCAGAGGCTCTTGGAGAGGCTCCGGAGCCGTGGGAGGGTGGGGGACCCATCCTGGTGGGGGATCCATCCCAGTGGATCCATCCCACAGGATACATCCCAACAGATCCATCCCAGCCATGGATCCATCCCAGCCATTGATCCATCCCAGTGGATCCATCCCAGCAGATCCATCCTGGCTGTGGGTCCATCCCAGCCATGGATCCATCCCAATGGATCCATCTCAGTGGATCCATCCCACAGGATCCATCCCAGAGGATCTATCCCAGCCATGGATCCATTCCAGCCACTGATCCATCCCAATAGATCCATCCCAGAGGATCCATTCCTACTGATCCCTCCCCGCCATGGATCCATCCCAGCCATGGCTCCATCCCTGTGGCTCCATCCCAAAGGATCCCTCCCAGCAGATCCATCCCAGCTGTGGATCCATCCCAGCAGATCCATCCTGTCTGTGGATCCATCCCAGTGGATCCATCCCAGCAGATCCATCCCTGCCATGGATTCCTCCTTGCCGTGTCTCCCTCCCTGCCTCCATCCCTCCCTGCCATGGCTCTATCCCCAGCCTGGCTCCATCCCTGTGGCTCCATCCCAGCAGATCTCTCTCTGCCTCGGATCCATCCCTGCCTCCATCCCTCCCTGCCATGGCTCCATCCCTGTGGCTCCATCCCAGCCATGGATCCACGTCTCTGCCTCGGATCCATCCCTGCCTCCATCCCTCCCTGCCATGGCTCCATCCCTCTCAGCAGATCCATCCCAGTGGATCCATCCCTGTCATGACTCCATCCCAGCCATGGATCCATCCCAGAGGATCCATCCCTACTGATCCCTCCCCGCCATGGATCCATCCCAGCCATGGCTCCATCCCTGTGGCTCCATCCCAGCAGATCCCTCCCTGCCGTGGCTCCACCAGCCATGGATCCATCCCAGCCATGGATCCATCCCTGTGGCTCCATCCCAGCCATGGATCCATCCCAGCCATGGATCCCTCCCAGCAGATCCCTCCCTCTCTCCCTGTGTCTCCCTCCCTCCCTCTCTCCCGGCGCGGGCGATGCGCGGCTCGGGCTGCAGAGGTCCCCGCGCACCAGGAGATGGAGGCAGAGAAAAAAAAAATATAAATTAAAAAAAAAAATCCCGCGGGATTTCTCCAAGGGAAATCAGGAATTGTGAATTTACCCAGAACCGAAGTCTGGGAATTCCATCCCAGCCTCTGCCCACCCTCCCAGCCAGGAATTCCCAACATCCCAGCCAGCCCTGCCCTCTGGCAGTGGGAGCCATCCCTGTGTCCTGTCCCTCCATCCCTCACCCCAAATCCCTCCCCAGCTCTCCTGGAGCCCCGTTGGGTTCTGGAATGTTCTTGTTGTCCCCCATGGGCTCCCTCCTCTAGGTCAGGAGTTGATTCTCACCAAGGATGGCGACTCCACAACTGCCCTGCCCAATCTTCTCCAGCGTTTGGCCACCCAAAAAACCCCAAAATATAAAATTTCTCCTCTGTTTAAAGGGAATTTCTGGGTCTCCCTGGCCTCTTGTCCACTGGGCACCTCTGGGAAGAGTCTGGCTCCAATCACTGGAAGCTTGGCGAGCTGAAATGAAGAAGAAACATTTGTTGTGGGGGAAAATAAAAGTTATTTTGGGCCCTTTGAAATTATTTACAACTTGAAGCAAAACCAAAAGGAGTGTTTTGGGGATGAAAAGCTGCAGCTTTGTTTGAGATATGCTTGAAATTAAACGCTTTGCCTTTTATTGAGCTGTGGCATTTCCCAGCTGAAATCTGCCTGCCTTTAATTAAAAAAAGCAGGGGACCACGAGAGCCTCCAAAGATGCATTTGCAAACCCAGAAATGTTTTATTTTGGGGAGAACAAGCTGTTTCCACTGACTCCACTTAAGGAATAAACCAAAACCAAACCTGTTTTGCTGGGACAAAATGGGAACGATTCACTCTGGGTTGACCTAAAGAGGAAAAATTTACATTTTGTAATTTTTGAAAAAAAAAAAAAAAAAAAATTAAAAAAAAAAAAAAAAACCAAAACAACCAATCCCGCGGGATTTCTCCAAGGGAAAAGCAGGAATTGTGAATTTACCCAGAACCGAAGTCTGGGAATTCCATCCCAGCCTCTGCCCACCCTCCCAGCCAGGAATTCCCAATATCCCAGCCAGCCCTGCCCTCTGGCAGTGGGAGCCATCCCTGTGTCCTGTCCCTCCATCCCTCACCCCAAATCCCTCCCCAGCTCTCCTGGAGCCCCATTGGGTTCTGGAATGTTCTTGTTGACCCCCATGGGCTCCCTCCTCCAGGTCAGGAGTTGATTCTCTCCAAGGATGGCGACTCCACAACTGCCCTGCCCAATCTTCTCCAGCGTTTGGCCACCCAAAAAACCCCAAAATATAAAATTTCTCCTCTGTTTAAGGGGAATTTCTGGGTCTCCCTGGCCTCTTGTCCACTGGGCACCTCTGGGAAGAGTCTGGCTCCAATCACTGGAAGCTTGGCGAGCTGAAATGAAGAAGAAACATTTGTTGTGGGGGAAAATAAAAGTTATTTTGGGCCCTTTGAAATTATTTACAACTTGAAGCAAAACCAAAAGGAGTGTTTTGGGGATGAAAAGCTGCAGCTTTGTTTGAGATATGCTTGAAATTAAACGCTTTGCCTTTTATTGAGCTGTGGCATTTCCCAGCTGAAATCTGCCTGCCTTTAATTAAAAAAAGCAGGGGACCACGAGAGCCTCCAAAGATGCATTTGCAAACCCAGAAATGTTTTATTTTGGGGAGAACAAGCTGTTTCCACTGACTCCACTTAAGGAATAAACCAAAACCAAACCTGTTTTGCTGGGACAAAATGGGAACGATTCACTCTGGGTTGACCTAAAGAGGAAAAATTTACATTTTGTAATTTTTTTTTAATTGAATTTTTAAATTTCAGAGCAGCTGTTTGCACAAGTCCAGGCTTTGAGGAATCCCTGGGAGTGTCCAAGGCTGGATGGGGTTT